GGGTCGGCAATACTGCACCAAAACAACAAGACAAAACGAAAGCTGGTCACGAGAGTAGAAAGATGAAAATTTAAGGTGCTGATAGTGATTGTCATCTCAGGATAATCGATGCTGTGGAGTGGTTGAAATTAGCTCAATGCAGATCCCCACTGCGCTGAATATGGTATATCTTAGTGTTTATGCGCTTGGATACTACAACTGATATAACAAACATCAGGCCGCACACATAATAAGTTTTGTAGCCTCCTGCCCCCCGCCTGCCCCTCCGCCGCCGGCACTGATTGCTCCTGCACCTGCCTGTCGTACACTCTGTCCACCAAACGCAAACTTCCTTGGTATCCTAGTAGTGCTCCCATCTCCGCCGTCTTTACTCGTAGTTCCACTTGCGGGAGCCAGTTTCTCGAATGCTTTATCGAAAGCAGCTTTTAGCTCCGTGTCTTGCTCAGGAAAGATCTTCGCATACCATGCTTGCGCATCCTCGAGGGAAATTCCCTGTCTGTGATCGCTTAGATTCAAGATGTCAGCTCTACGGGCCGAGTGTTTGCTTTTAATTCATTTGAGATGAGTGCATGAGTCTGTTACTGTTTCATCCTTCATTCAAGTAACGTCCGTCCTGCAGGTAGTAGCTGTGTCGCTGGTTGTAAACCTTGACCTTGCGTAACTTCCCTTCCTTCAAGTGCGCTAGACTCTCGTGATCCGGGTTAGGGCATACCAGGCACAAAGAGTAGTCCAGTAGCAACAAGTTCAACTCTGGTGGCTCGATTCCAGAGGAGACACGCCCAAGAAGTTTCTCGGATATCAGATGGACCTAGGTTAGAATCAGGAACATAGAAGTATTTTTAGGCGGAACAAGAAATGATGGTGACACTCATGACGCAAGTATGGTAGCCAGAACAAAAAGGCACTACTTACACTGACTTACAGTACTTACACTTATACTTACACTTACAGTACTTACTACTTATACTGACTTACACTTACTTCGAAGAACTACTTACACTGTGACTCACAGTACCCTTTGCGCACTTCCAGCTGCCTCTTCGGCCGACCCTTCCGCAGGATGAGAAGGGCTATCGAAAGTTGCAGCCTCTACTTTCTTCAGTCTTTCCCGTCTATCTTCAAATCTTGCTACGTCTTCTACGGCAAAAGGACACGCGGTACCGCGCAGCTCGAAATTTGGATCCTCCTCGTCGAATACACTTCGTGTCTTACCTCGTGGATCTCCATGATCATTCTGATTCTTATTCATAGAGGACGGGCCCTGAAGACCTGGATCTTCTTTATTATTGCGCAGTTAACCGATTGATTTCTTGATTCTTGAACACTTGAAAGCTTATAAACTACCGGAGTGATTTCGTTATTCATGCAAATACTTGGCAAGTAAAAAGGGGAGCCATTTTGGTCCTGTTTTGTGTTTGGTGCATCTCATTATTCGGGGCATGATCAACATCATGGACATCCTTAAGCAAACAAGTAGACGGCTAGACTCATGCACTTCAAGATTGTGGAAACCTTTGGATTGATGTCATTACGCTGCTGACGCTGTTAGGATCCTGGGAGCTTATGCACGCAACGATTGAATTCATGGAAGTGAACGATTTGATTCATATGCGCGACATCCTCCCCAGCTCCAGGAAACCTAAACAGCCAGCTTACTCAAGATCTATAAGTTCATATAACAACAAGCAAGAGAAAATAAATACTAGCACGATGAAACTACGATAACAATCATAAGAAGCAAACAAGATGATTGACGTCATTATAAGGTTGAGGAAGTAGGTAGAATCAAGGTAAATGATGAATCACGAATAACGGTCAAGGTTACGAAATAGCATGAAACTGTTAACAAAGTGACATAATTGCTGGAGGATTATTATACTGAAGCTAAGTAGTTCAGACAAGTTCGACCATGTTATTCAATCGAAGATATTCCGAGAATTCCTCCCCGGCTGTCAACTTCGTCAGACCGTTGGACTTGTTCGCCAAACTTTGAAAATAGATCGGCTTGATCGCTCCTCGTCCAACAAGATCACGCATGTAGCATCTTCGAATATCCACATGCTTTAGCCTTGAAGCTGTTCCGCTGCGTCCTTGGCTATACTTAATTGCGCCCTGGTTATCGCACTTAAGTATTAGCGGATAATAGATTTTAGGTTCTTTAAAGAATTTGCTTAACCACACCTGCATACTATTCAGTATGTGGTAGAATCGAAGTCCAACTTTTGATCCATCAGACATTGAGCACAGTTCAGCTTCAGTCACACTAGTGGCAATCGTGCTTTGCGATAGTGATCGCCAGTAGATCGCGTTGCCACATAAGGTAACTAGAATTCCAGATATGGACTGCCGGCCTTCTTGTGATCCGAAGTCAGAGTCAGTCCATATTGACAGTGTTAGTTTTCCACTGTTTTCCTTTTGTCTGTTCACGTACTTCAGTGCTCTTCGCGTTCTGAGGTAACGGACTATGCGCTTCAGTGCTAAAATTGATTCACTGTTCGCTTTGGCTTTGCTTGCTAACTTTAGTGGTACTGTTATATCAAACCGCGTCCCAGATGCAAGATACTGCAGAGTGCCTGTAAGCTCTTGCTTAGGCTTCAGTAGCTTGACATCTTCGGGCGTTGACAAGTTTGGGGCGGTTGTCATCGGGTTGGATATCGTCCTACCAACTTCCCCGCCGAACCGCGCCAATACTTTTTCAACGTACTCATCTTGGCTGAGTAGCATGTTGCCAGTAGCTTTATCCTGGATAATCTTGATGCCCAAAAGGTCATAGACGAGACTAGTAGCAGTTTCTTCTACCGTCTCGGGTACAAGCTTTAGGTGAGGCTGAAGTTCTGCATGGAGATTCAGAACTTCCTCCTTTCTTCCAAAAAACCAAAAGTTATCTACGAAAACGACTAGCAGAACGCCTTCCTTGTGCCAGAGTGTGGGTTCTATGGGATTTCTTGCCCAACCACATAGCGATAGTTTGCCATCACGATGATCAGCCCAAGCTTTTGAAGACAATCTTAGACCGTTAAGCGCGTACTGTACTACTGCGTGCTTATAGTTGAGGTAAGACTGTAGTCTTTGGTCTAAGGTGATCAAAACTGGGACTGGATAAGGAGACTGTAAGAAAGCTGATGTAGCATCAGATGGAAACATAAATATATCTGGCTGTTGGCAAACTATTGCAAGTAGTAGGCGCATAAGACACAAGTCTGGCACTTCGGCATACTTGTCGTCGTAGCTTGAAACTTTGTCTAGAAAACCTAAACAAACTATCCTAGCCTTCTTACGACCGTCGCGCTTGATCGATAGCAACATCTTACAGGGTATGAAGCTGTTTTTCTGTTGTACCCAGTGAGTTACTTCGCTATTTGTCGCGGGTCGAAATACATGAGCATGAGCTTTGAGCTCTTTCTCAATGGCTGCCTTCCAGTCTGGCTGGGTGAGGTCGTATCCAGACTGATCAGCGCCGACAGATGCTGTTTTCATACAAGTCCCGCTTTCATCTTTCTCCCAGTCGGAGCATAGAAAGGGGGAAATGAATCCAACAAAGTTTTCATCTTGGTCGTCTAGATTCGTGTCGTCTGAGGCGTAAACTTGGCTTTGCCTATAGACTTCAGCTGCTATTTTGTTCAGCTGAGTCTCTTTTAGGTCTTTATATTCAGGCTGTGCCTGGATAAGTTCACGAATCTCTTTGAGTGCTTTCGCTTTTATCGCGTTGCGCTCCCGCCACGCTCCTCTGACAGGTTTCTGAGGATGCTCTTCGGCTATCCTTCGAAGCTGTGCTTCATGTTCAACTTGGAGTCTGTTGTAAACTTGCTGAGTGTAGTTCTTAGTAAGTTTAAACTTTCCTTCTGTCTGCTTTGGAGCGGCCGACTCCCCGCCGGGCTGAGATTTCCCGTGATCAGACGAGGAAGATTTAATCTTTGGTGGACGCTCCAAGACTACAGGAGGCTCTGTCTCAGACTCGTTAGCGTTTGTCTGTACAAACTTGAACTTTACCGGTACCGTTTCAAACGTGTCAGGATGTTGTTGGTCTGGAGGCGACAAACCGTGCGATTTGTATAGGACTCGCAACAACATCGGCGGGAAATTGAGCTCTTGAAGAGTTAAGTGGCGCCTTATATGGGATGCGTGAACCCTCTTAAAGTTTCCGTCGTAGTCGACTACAAAAGTACAAGTGAACTCGTTCTGTTGAATGTGAATCAACTTAGCTGGTCCGAGCCATGCTTCTTTGTCCTTGTCAAAAATATCAACGAGATCATTGGCTTTGATCTGATCCGCTTCGGGATAGGCGTTACGCTGCATTTCATTCAGCTTACGCATGTCAGCAATGAATGCTTTGTCCTTCTTTAGTTTTTCAAGTTCTGAACGAGCATCGCATCGCACACGATATGCTTCAGATGCTGGACTGTCAACGATCATTGATCCCTGCTGATCATTCAAGTTCTCAGGGTCATGAGGTTCCAGTGAAAATGGGTTGAGTGCCCATTGAGCTTGGTAAGGACTAAGACCGTCTAGTGCTCTAGTTGGCATAAAGTTCACCGCATTAGTAGCTTGCTCTACTAGCATCGGCACTTTAGTATCCAACTGACCATAGATATAGTATAGCTTCTCTAGTACTGTTCTAAAGGTTCTATGCCTCCGCTCACAAGTACCGTTTACCCAGCTAGCTTTAGGCGTAAGATAGAAACCATACCCATGCATTTGAAGATATTCGCGCACTTGTGTGTTATCGAATTCTTTTCCTTGATCAGATAAGACACACCTGCCGAGGATGCCTCTGCCTTTGCAGTGCTCCAGAAATTCAGTTGTGTCTTTTCCGGTGGGTGCCTTGCGTAGTGTCCTAGTGACACTCGCTCTAGAGTGTAAGTTAATAGCGTGTAACACGTAGTACTTCTTTCCAAGAGGGAAAAACGTATCAACAGCAGTGAAATCTGAGATACGAAGTCCGTCTATGCCACCTACTTTGTGGTGAGGGTAGGCGTACTTGTTGAGGCGGTTTAAGTTGTGCTTACAGTACTGAATAACCATACTACGGGCTTGCCGTGAGTTATCGATAGCTTTAACCGTTTGCCATAACTTTTGAAAACTTGGAAATCCTAGCTGCATGGCAATCGCGCAAAGCTTATCCCAAGAAATCCATGCTCCTTTAGGCGTAGTGGTGTTTGCGTTACCACGGAACTTCTTGGCAGGTCGAGACGAAGATGGTGCCGCTTCTTCGTCTGCTTTCCGCTTCTTCTTTCCTTTTCCTTGCTTCTTCTTTTTCTTCTTCTTTGTAGTGGTGTTGAGGATAGAATTGCTGTCGTCACTACTATCGTCACCACTAGCTTCTTCATAGTTCTGCTGATCGTCATATTCTTGAAGATCTACTTCTTCAGCCGGTTGAAGCGAATGATTTGAATCCGGTCGAAGTGTTTGATTCGTAAAAGAAGCTGACGAACTGCTACTTGTAGTGTTGGATGATGTTGCTCCTACTGCAGTAGAAGAAAACGATTGATCAGTAGGAGAACACATCGATAGGCAATACTTCGGGCCACTAAGAGAACTAATGTGACCTTCTAAACTTGGAATAGCGTAGCTCGTGAATGCTTCTGCGATTTTAATCTTCTCCATCGCTTCGTTTGTGCGGTTGGGGTTGTAGGTCAAAACAACTGGCCTACTAGTACAACTTGAACTACATCGAGGAAGAAGAAAACTAATTAGCTCCTCTGTGGTCGCGTTGTCAACATCGAACTCATCACAAGATGTCTGAAAGTCGTAGATGTAGGGCTTCAACTCCGTTAGATAATCGTCTGTACTGTGAGATAGTCATAGGAGATTGATCACGTCGCTGGCCGCTTTTGCGTCAGTGATCATGTAGACCGTGTCGTAGTGCTGTTCGTTGTTGTGTTGAAGAGGAAGAAGAATTTGCAATACTCCTTCTCGCCAGCTCATCGGGAATCCCATAAACGTCATACTTGCGAAGTCAGGATGGACTCCTTTGCTCGCCATCTTGGATTGACTAATGATGGTTCGCATTCCTAGTGTTGGCACGTACAAAACATCGCTCCACGAGATGCTTGAGTCTGTTGTAACAAGCGTTCCGCGCGCTGAGGCGTATGCTGGATCGGCAGACGCTGTCGTTAGTCGCTCGCTCACGTTTCTGTCAACGTTGTGGAGAAGCGAAAGATCACCAGTCATATGGCGACTACTACAACTATCAAGAAGAATCCAATTACCACTAGAAGATACTGAATTTGTGATGCTCATTGCCATTCCACCACTACTAGGCATTGCAGCGTCAAGGATCATGAAACTTCTGTGCGGCACACGTGGCGGCCCTTGTTGCGGCGGTGCCGAGGGGTATCCCTGAAATGGGTTGACGAAAAATGAACCTTGTTGCGGTTGCTGCGGGTGGTGGATGCCTTGGCTGGGATCTGGATGCTGTGGCTGGCCGTTATAATAGGCATGCGGATTCGGATTCTGCTGCGGCGGCTGGTTGTTCCAGTTGTTCTCATCGGTCCAGTAAGAATTATTCTGATTTCCATACTGATTCCAGTTGTTGCCGTTGTTGTTATTGTTGTTGTACTGGTTGGAGTTGGAATAATTGTTATTGTTACCTCGATAGCCCGAATTCTTGTTGTTGTAGTTGTTATTTCGGCCTTGGTTGAAGTTGTTCCTTGAGTTGTTGTAACCACCATTATTTTTATGGTTCTTGTTGTTTTTACCCTTTCCTTTTCCTTTGCCGTTGTTCCTACTACCTTTGCCTCCGTTGTTGCTGTTGGTGAAGTAGGTTTTCCCACCTCCACCGGAGTGAGGCTTTTGCGGGTTCCCGTCGTGCTCTTTGGTTGTTCGTAGTGCGCCGTAAAGTCGCTCTGCCCTGCTAGCGATTGTTGCGACGCCGGTCATCGTGGTTGGCTCAGATGTGATTAGCATCTCTTTGAAAACACCGCATGAAGAATTTGTGAGACTGCGGATTTGCTGTCCTAGTGGGTACTCGTCTAAAGGGCATGCGGATGCTGCTTCAGCCCATCGGCGATGGAAGTTCGCCGGTCTCTCGTTTCTTCCTTGTTTTAACGCTTCGATCGACGCGATGGCGACCCTGTGATTTTCTGAGCACCAGGAGAAGCCTCTGGCGACGACACTGGAGCAATACTAGGACTTCGCGAGCAGCCATGACCAACTTCGGAGTCGTGGTCTCCTTTAATATCTCTACTCTGATTACCTACACCAGCTGTACGCGCCTCGCCACCCAAAGCAGCTTCTGGTATATCGATTTCGTAGTGCTGTTGATCTCCTGGTGGCTCCTCGTTTTCGCAAGCACACAGCTGCGGCTCAGCAGCTGCATCACCACTAACGTCTTCAGAGTCTTGTCCTGCTGGAGAAGCCTGTGAGTGCTTTCCTCCGATGCTGGCTCCACCTGCAACTGCTTGATCTTCTTGTTCTTCCGTAGCTACGAAGGAGTTTCTCTTCGATGACTCTTTTGTCTTCCTCGAGTTAGAACCAACTCTAGCACGTATCTATACATAAACCTAAAAGTAGTGAAAACTAAAACTGTAGTAAAAGTAGTGAAACCTAAAACTACGTGACTATCTCCCGACGTCCCGTACTGTTAATTCATACTACTGTAACGTTAACTAATGTTAATTATTCAGTACGTGTACTAATGTTAAACTTCAAGACCAGTCACGTGTACTAATGTTAATTCAGTACTGTACGCATCAGTAGTACTAATGTTAAACTTCATCTATAGTCACGTACTGTAATGCATCGTTAAAAGTAGTGAAACCTAAAACTGTAGTACATTCGTAACTTGTTTCTCCATCCCACCAGCCGGCGCGGGGTCTGGCAAGAGCTCGACATCTGAAATCCCATCACCGATGTCTTCCAGAGCCGCTGCAGGGTCATCGACCTCATCGGGGCTCACCTGAGTGGCATATGACTCGTCTGGCTTTTCAGTCATGATGTCGCTTAAAAATATTCATCGAAGATAAGTGGACATTTATATCTTGTTCGTTGGTTGTTGCCGAGTACTGTTTAGCTTGTTGTAAAGAAAACGTAAAGAAATATTGTCAGAAACTTACTTAGTTGAACAGCACTTAAACTTCATTAGCTCCTCTTGCATATCATCCTACTGTTGCATATCATCCTACTGTTGCATATCATCCTACTGTTGCATATCATCCTACTGTTCGAGAATGGTCGATACGACTGCTAAGGCAGAAAAATGATCCTTCTCGCTAGAAGTACTCCTGTGTCCCCTTTCATCTCTGTGAGTGCTTTTTCGTGGCTCTTGTACTAATCCATCGGCTCTCTGTTGCCTCGATTGATCATCCCTTGCACTACAACACAGACTCTTGACCGATTCAGATTCAGGAACTACAGAAAGTAAATCAAGCAGCAATGATACTCCTTCTCTCATAACCGAAACAAGAAACCTCTCGAATCGCTGTTTTCTCTACAAAGCACCATTACAGTTGCAAACGCTCAGCAAGACCTAGACAACTTTCCAGCCACGCCGAGTGTGTAATCATGTGCATTCGCGGCATAACACAGGAACCTAAAAATCCTGTAAAAAGAGAAACACCTCTTAAAAGGGCTTAGCGTTTACTCTCAACATCTTCTTCTATCCATTGCAAGATAATGAAACTAAACTGGTCACAAGATCATGAAGCCGCAACACCACACATCTCTAAGAAAGTCCCGAAGTGTATGTCAGCCACGTCGTTCACGTCTTCCGCATAGCCTCCTGCCAGTACTACACAACAAGGAAGTTCATGTTTCTTTGAAAACTCAAAGACCATCTTGTCCCTACGTCTGAGTCCTTCCTTCGAAATCTTCAGTCCCCCAAGCGTGTCTCCCTCATATGCATCTGCTCCAGCGACGTATATCAACAAGTCAAAATTCAACAGCGTGCTGGTCGTTGGCTTAGCAGTAGATTCAAACGAGTTCTTCCCAGATGAGGTGTCGCAGAGGACCACGTTCATCTCTCCCATTTTCTGCAACTCTGTCAAAGCCTTGGATAATTCGGGGAGATACTCGTCGTCCCCCATGCCTGTTGGTAACCCCACGTCTAGAGACGACGCGCATCGAAAATGAGGAAAATTGTCTTCCTCATGCAAGGAAATTGTTTTGACATAGGGATGCGGATGTACGGCGATATACTCCTCGACCCAAGTGGTTTCATTGTCAATGTAATCCGATTCGGAGTCTTCTTCCATCAAGTATTGCTCTTCTCCCTCAAACGAGAACTTTTTGCGCCTATACAAATGGTCCAAAACTACGCGACCCGCAGTTGTAGCCGTGCTGCCCGTGTCTACTTCTCTAGTTGTACTTTGTTTAATATCACCAAAATTATGGGCTTCATTTTTCACTTGATGTAGAAATCGTAATACTTCAGGATCCGTTATCACCCGGAACCTCTCGCGTTCGTAATTCCACACCACACGCTCATGCGATCGAACGAGCTCCACCTGGTCAGTTGCAGTTCGAACGACCTGGTCAGGTCTTGCAGTTCCTTGGTGTACAAGCACCACGTCATAGCTTGGCGGAAAAAAACATGCTGTGCCATTCCCTTGATGGACATCTAGGTCTACGACTGCTGCTCCACGTGGTAACAAGCCGCTCGAACGCAGGGTTTGGAGCGAAATGCCAACGTCGTTGAGGACGCAGTAACCTTCTCCCCAACCGGGACACGCGTGATGACTCCCACCACCGATATTGAACGCAAACGACGGTGGAGATGGAACCAGAGGTAGAGACGGGTCTTTCCCTTTCTTCAAAGAAGATGAAGATGAGGCTCCTCCATTTGTACTTTTATTAATATCAGAAGCAGAAGAAGATGCTGCTCCTTCAGGCTCTTTCCAGGAGTGGGGTGAAAACGCTACTCCTCTGGTGTCACCTTGAAGATGACTTCCTCCACTTTTACAACCACTTGTGCCTCTGCCTAATAAGGCGTCTTCACACGCTGCCAGAGTCGCCGCCACATCGCGCATCTCATTTCTGAACACATCTGCGCTACATGGGACTTCGAACTCGTGGATAGCTTTCTTAAATTTTTTTTTTTCCCAATGCTTGGCTGAGTCGTGAGGTCCCATGTTACCCCCTATTTTTCCGTTTAAATCAAGGGGGACCCTACTCAGCACAGTCCACATGGGACAGTGAAGAACTAGCCATAACTTTCTTGGGATCCTCAAAGTACTCCTCCCGCACACGACGCAGAAACTCAGGCGTTTGCCATCGAAGCAATTGATCTCGCATTAAGGTATCGGCTTCTGGAACTGGGGATAGAACCACCTCAATAGCGTTACAGCAAGTTAACTTTAGCTCCAAGTTGTCAGAAGATATTTCTGTCCTCGTTGGAGGTGGTGCACTAGTTGTAGTACAAGAACTAGAAGAAGTAGTGCTGCTAATTCCAGGTCTACTTCCACTTACATTTCGGCTTCCTTCTGCTGCACCAGTGCTTGAACTACTCTTGCATCTTGTTGCGTTCGTCCACTTTTCAAGGCGTTTGAGAAGAAGCTGATGCTTGGACATATTAAACTTCTCGTCATTCCAGTATCCCGTAGGCCTCTGGAAATAGCGCACATAGACTCGATTGCTGTTGCATCCTCTTGTCTTTGTGGAAGGTGGAGGGCGTTGTGTTGGAGTCATTTTTTGAGGAGTTTATGTTGACTTGTATCTTGTATGTATAAGTCTCTGTTAGCTATTTGCTTGTTTCTCGAGTCGATGTTTATCTACGCATACAACCTTGAAGACCATCTGTTTTTCGGCAACAATGCTGTATAGGACCACATTTTCTAGGATGCTGGGAATCGTGCTTCCTTTTCATCCACATCACTCTACTACAACAATCTTCACTCATCGAGTGGACCCGCTGCGGTCAAAAGGCAGTCAAGCAACTATAAACTCGTTTATTGAATCTCTGAAAGTCTATTGAAGAATCTTTGAAAGTTTATTGAATCTTTGAAATCTCAAAATCCTTCGTATATCCAAAAAATTTCAGTTTTATCGCCAAGGATTCAAATTCTTTTCCTGGCGAGAGCTTTTACCTCACATCAGTCCCAGGTCAGATTCGACACATGGCAACCCCGATCACGCTCGCCCAGCTCAGGAAAAGCCATCAAGGCATGCTATTGCATGCAAAAAGTGCTCGTTTGTTGACTGTATTCTTGAATGAGAGTAAGGTTTAAAACCATAATATATTTCACCACCTACTTCAGACAATATTAAGGGCTTAGAGGAGTTTATTGATCATGTTGTAGGTGAAGCTGAAATGAGTCCCTGTCACTGTCGTGTTAGGGTGTTGTAAGCGTAACGACAGACCACAAATTCCATCACAAATAATGTCAACAAATAGTCGTGAGTTTTTGAGTATCTATGAAAGATTCCTCAGACAACAGAAGATTGAATACGAACAATAGTACCATGACCAGACCTGCTACGCAAGCACAACAAAGGTTTAGGTACCTTGGGCTTCGGGTTTAATATTCACACATTGCAGAAAACATCTTCAACCTGCACTACACACAGTCTAAAACCCAGTGTTATACGTTCAGAACAAGAACTCTCTAGACGCACGTGGTAGCAGGCAGCAGCCTACGGGAGCAGCAGAAGCAAGGTTTCAAATTTTACAAACTAGAAGGTACTTCTCTTTTACATCAACGTACGAGCCTCCGTATGCGTTCTCCGCACTGCCACTGCGCCGATTGCACGGATGTACAGCAAGAACTAAGAGGATAATAACAACTTGAATCAATGATGGTGCTGCAAGAGACTTAGTGCTGTGTACCAATCTATCAATGTCTAAAAAAAAGAAAAAGGAATACAGAGACACACAAGCAATGAAGAACAACAACCTGATCACAAACAAAGGGCACACATGAAACTGGTTCTGGCTGTTCAAGAGGAAACCCTGTCATATGGGTGAAACCAACAAAGAAGCAATCAGCCGATATCTATGCGACGCTCTGGCTTCGAACCCGAGCGAGCGTCACCATGGACTCAATATATATGGCGTTCTTCATAGGAGAAGAGCAAAGAAATTATGTCGTAGGTTTTAAATTCATACGAAGATCTCACGAAGACCAGCAACTAACTATGTATGGATCTTCATTCTTCAAAAACAATTACAATTTGAATTTGTTACAGACTAAGAACTACCGCCACAACGAGGTTGAAAGTTTTGAAGTTTCGCATTCCGAAGGAAACAAAAATTAAAAAAATTGATTAGGTATTTTCACGCACTTGTCTGGAGGACCGACACGTCGCCGCGAGACTATGTAGGCGAAAAATATAGCCATTACCCGAATGTGGCATTATAATACGGCCACTTTGATAAGGCACGACACAGCATTTTCATTGGGATAAGAGCTTATGCTTATCCTAAACTGTTCAGGTCAGTAGACAGACGTTAATTACTGCAGTGGACACCAGTAGAAGATACAACCTCCCATCAACGTCGTTGAGCTTGTGAAAATACAAAGTTTAATTGGATATCATGATGATCAAAAATTTCAACACGATTGTATTCATATAAGCAAGAAAAAGTACAACCTGTGTACAAGTCCTGATTACATATATATAGTTATTTAGTGGCATTTTTATCCAAAGAGTGTACGGGATTGCTTTTCACGATCTTGGTCATGAAGTTGAGAAGCTCAGAGCACTCCCCAGTTGTTCCTGTAATCGCGTTTCCAGCCAGGCTCGTTCCCTGCCTTGCACTTGCCGGTGATGGTCGTCTTCCCATAAGCCGTCTGACAAAAGCAGACTCTCCACTACTACTGGTTGTTAGATGGAGAGTAATCATCATGGTGCCCCATTTATAAGTACTTCTAGCCTAATGGCGGGACAAAACTACACTTGTTCCGCTGGCGTAGACGCTCTTGTATGCGTCGCTTTTGGACGTCGAAGGGAATAAGTAGCCTAAGTTGTCGCGGGGAAGTTGCATGCTGTTGCCCCTGTTGCCGTCGTTCATGATGGCCGTAGACACGTGGTCTGACAGTATTTCAAAGATACAGGCAGCTCATGACAAACCTTGATTTTCTTTTTCCTTAATCATTAACTTATAGGTGTAGAGATGAAATTCAATCTTCATCTGAAAATAAAAGCGATTCATAATTCTCGATCGCCTCTTGAAGCGATATGATTCCTTGAGATACCGCAGCACTGAGCGGATGCGGATCGCAGCCACTCGTCATAGGTTGCTCTGAAAGATACCGTTCTACGACACTGGTCCACCACGCTAAGCGCTCATGCTCGTTATCAGACAGCCAATCTTCCTCCTCTACTTCAATAGTTGTATCCTCATTGGCTTGGTCGCCTGGGCCTGCTGCTCGAGTCCTCTGTTGAGTCTCCTGTCTTAGCTGAGGCAACGTGTCTTCAGAACAAGACGGGCAAGGTCTGCCGAAGTGGTCGGGGTGAAATACATTTGATTCCCCGACTGGACGCCCTCCTTCTCCTTTCATCTGCCTGTAGTAAAAGTCTTCATATGTGGTTGTATTATCGAAGTGCTCTCCTCCTTTACCTCCTTGTCCTTTCTGCTCATGAAGTCGATGAGGATATTCTTGTTGCCTCCCACCATTTCTACTTTTGGTTAGCGGCTGCTAGAATGCATCTCGGTCCCCTCATCTTGACCCCTTTTACAACCTTGTATTTCACGAGATGATGAATACAAGGGAAAAGGTGACCTACAAAAAAGGTGGCCGAGAATGATGGACTCAACAAAAAAGCTGACCATAATTTGGATCCTTGACTGAAAAGATGCATCCGCTTGTAGGGCAGTTCTCCGAACATCTCAAGGGCATATTCCGCCTTCAAATGTCGGTCCACCAGACTGGCTACTGCTGTCGCAGATTGAAACAAGCACACATTAGAGCTTCATCTACAATCAGCAACAGCATAGTCCTCCACCTCCACACTAGAAGATAATGATTGACCTACTTAGACTTGGCATCATAAAAGCAGCCTCTTCGTCATCGCATCTCCACCACAGGTAAGCACGGAAAAGATGCCACTTCAACCCCTCCACAAAGTGTAAGAGTGAAAGTAGAGCCAATGGGCACTTCTTTCCGCTGGTATTAGACTTAGAGAGTCGCCTTATAGTGTCCATCTTGGGAACAAGGATAAGGAACCTCCAGCATCCTCGTTTTACTACTTTCTTTATTCTCCTTCAAAATTTGCTGAAAATCTGATAGACAGGCTGAGTAGAAGTACCAAGAGTAGCATTTTTCACTATATCAGGAGTGGCATTTTTTCGTTTGAAAAAAGCTACCGAGTGGATGCTTCGGAAGATGGATGATTGGCAGCTGCCTTAATGTTGGCACAACCGTTGAAGTCTTCTTGTGCGCGCTGTCGATTGGCTTCATCTTCTCGTAGCTTGTTTTGGTTTCCTTCTTCTCCCTGTAACTGTCGCTGGCGATGCTGTGCTTGCTGATGTTGATGATGTAGTGCTTCTTCTACTTGTTCGTCGTTCACGTGCTGGTAGCTCATCGCATTAAAATTATTAGTACAACCTCTACTACTTTCCTGACGATGACCATTTGCACCATTTCTAAAAGAGGTAATTGCACAAGAAGAAGACCTCGGTGTTATCCGCCTCTCATGAGGGGTTCCTTCTTCCTGCATGCTGTTCCACGCTTCGTTCGTGCCAGAGCATGACCCTCCTGCTTGAGACAGTCTATATTAGAGATACATGCCCAGAAAGCGGGCCCATCAAGGGCCCGCTGCGCTGGGCATAGGTTAACAACTAGACAAGTTGACTACTAAGAGACAGAAAGACAAACGAAAAAAGTCGCCAAGTCTGCTCGCCAAGGCTGGGAAGCTGGCCCCCACTGTGGCGAGGCTAGTGAGGAGGCTACCGCTATGGCTACTGTCTTGGCCAACTTGCTTGCTAGGGGCAAGCCAATGGGCGCCAAGGCTGGCCCGCTGAGCGTCATGGAGTCCATGAGAAGGCCACTCTTGGACATATGTAGGCACAGAGGTTGGGCCCTTTTGAGTGTGATCATGTCCAGGAGAATCCTAACGCATAGCATACCCATGGGATGGCACTGACACTGGCGAGCGTCATGGACGAGGCCCATGAGAAAGCCACGCTTGGGCATCTCTATGCGCACGCAGAGCCAGAAGCTGGGCCCCAACCTTCAGGCGCGGGGGTGTGTCTATAAGCTTGGCTGTTTCATGGACATGACGCAAGACGCCCACCACGGTCCGCGCCTCAGACATGCAATGGCCCACCGTTATCACTCTCACGCACAGGCATCGACGTCCTCAGCCTTCAGCCTTCACCGACGGAGATGCATGCGCCTGGCCTTCTCATGGACATGATGACGCCCGCCAAGGTCCGCCCTCATCTACTTCCTCGCAGACATCGACACCCTCAACGGCTTCGACTTTCACAGGCAAAGCTGTACACCTTTGGCCCTCTCATGGATATGATGACGCTCACCAGGGTCCACCCTTCAGACACGCAAGTGCTCAAGGCTATCACTCTCACAGACATCGACACCCCCAACGGCTTCGACTTTCAAGCGCAGAGATGTATGCCCTTGGCTTTCTCATGGGTATGATGATGCTCACCAAAGTCCACCCTTCAGAACTGCAAGCGCCCACGGCTATCAGTCTCACAGACATCGACATCCTCAACGGCTTCGACACTCAAGCGCAAAGACGTACATCTTTGGCCTTCTCATGGATGTGATGACGCTCACCAGGGTCCACCCTTCAGGGATGCAAGTGCTCACGGCTATCATCCTCACAGCCATCGACATCCTCGACGGCTTCGACTTTCACACACAGAGACGCACATCTTTGGCCTTCTCATGGATATGATGACGCCCACCAGGGTCCACCCTTCAGACATGCAAGTCCTCACGGCTATCATTCTCACAGACATCGACATCCTCAACGGCTTCGACTTTCAAGCACAGAGATGCATACCTTTGGCCTTCTCATGGATATGATGACGCTCACCAGGGTCCACCCTTCAGACATGCAAGCCCTCACGGCTATCATTCTGACAGACATCGACATCCTCAGCGTCGGCTTCGACTTTCACACACACACCGACGCACGTCTTTGGCCCTCTCGTTGATATGATGACGCCCACCAAGGTCCACCCTTCAGACATGCAAGTCCTCACCGCTATCATTCTCACAGACATCGACATCCTCAACGGCTTCGACTTTCATACACAGAGATGTATATCTTTGGCCTTCTCATGGATATGATGATGCTCACCAGGGTCCACCCTTCAGACATGCAAGTCCTCACGGCTATCATTCTCACAGACATCGAGGCAACATCCTCAACGGCTTCGACCTTCACGCGCAAAGTTGCACACCTTTGGCCTTCTCATGGATATGATGATGCTCACCAGGGTCCACCCTTCAGACACGCAAGTGCTCACGGCTATCATTCTCACAGCCATCGACATCCTCAACGGCTGCGACTTTGAGGCGCATCTTTGGCCTTCTCGCGAATCAATATGATCACGCTCGTCAGCCTCTACCCTTTCAAGTGCTCACCCTCTCCCTTACAATTCTCCCGCTTTTGTGCTGGTTCGAAGTAGACTGGTCAACCATCTCCAAGGGTTGCTGAGCGCTCCGGCGCCGTGGTCGATTGCTGTGCGCGGAAGGTAGTCGCGGAAGGGGAGCGAGCTAACCTTTTTCCAAAAACTTCAGGGAGGTCGTTCAGTTTTCTCTGTATTTGAATGACCTCCCTGAAGTTTTTGAAAAAAAGTAATGGCGCTGGGCGATATATGACAAGGGTAGCGGTTGGCAGCTCGTTGGGGCGATTCGCTAGGGGTGGGCGCGTAGTGTCTTGCTGCGGATGTGGCTGGTGTACGTGAGTAGCCTACAAACTAACAGCCGCGATCGCGAACACGTTAGCACGTTCTTGACACCTTTGAACTCGTAGTACTAGCAAGGGCCTTAAGGAGCCGCTGTTATTAGCCTAAGTTTATAACAGCTTGTCCTTAAGGGAGCTCCTTAAGGGAATTTTTTCCCTCTTAAGGAAAGTTATAATAACTTTTTATAATAAAAATTCTTTAAGGAAACTGATTTCCTTAAGGAAGCTCCTTAAGGAAGCTCCTTAAGGAAGCTCCTTAAGGGAGCTCCTTAAGAGATTTCTGGCAATTGCTAATACTATAAATATTAAGAGCAATAAAACTTTGCAAACACATCCCTTCCGAAACCTCAACCTCCAACACCCAAACCCAAAACCTCCAACACCCGAACCCAAAACCTCCAACACCCGAACCCAAAACCTCCAACACCCGAACCCAAAAACAAACAAACCCCAAACCCCAAACCCATGAACCCATGAACCCATGAACCCATGAACCCATGAACCCATGAACCCATGAACCCATGAACCCA